AGTAGATCGTTGTTGTGCTCGCGATCACTATTATTCACATATACACCGAGAAAAAGGGTTAGTATACTAGACACCTTGGGAGGATTTCGTCAATGCCGTAGGAGACGGTACACGCCCTTCCTAAAGAGATTTGTGATTGTGGGTTGGAATTGGTGGACTAGGCATGATCGTTAGGTAGATTCATGAGAAGCAATCAACATACATGGTACGGGGATGAACCAAAAATACATGGAATCGGGAGTTGGGTTGTTCTTGCCGATGCATTGGTATGGAACAATGCTTAGGGAGAAGCCGTTCTTAAATAGCTTAAATTAGAATTTTGTTTATCGATGCTAAACTCACTTTATTCTTTTAACTGATTATTGCTATTGTTTAAACTTGAGATCTCTTTTAAAATGTCACTGTTTTCATTCCAAACCTATATATATGTTAGTTGTGAAATGAGATCGACCGTTTGCTATGTTTTTCAAACCTTGTTTGAGTTGAGAGGATTTTGCTACAGAGCTTCGTGCTCACCCCCTACAAATAAAATTTTTCAGATTTCACACTTGAGGAGGAGTTAGGAGCCGAGGAGCCCACCCATTGGAAGACTCCGCTTGACGGGGATGTGGATTCCGAGGTGGACGCTTAGAGCGACACTTTTATTTTGTTCTAAACTAGATTATGCTTAGAATATCCTTTTGAACTCTAGTTCATTTCTGTTATTTCCGCTGCGTTATATTATTACATTTTGGAGATGTAAAGGCCAAGATTAGACCTATTAATTTGGGATGATAGTGTGGATATGACATATGATGAATGCAAGTTTATTTTATGATGAAAAAATGGACCCGGTGTGGTCAATAGTTATGCATATGTGGACCCAGTGTGATCAATTGTAATATAATTGTACAGGTTGTGTTTTGGGTAGAACTCCTCGTACAAATGAGACTCTGCCCAAATTTTGTTAAAATATGAATGGTTGATGAATGAAACTTTCGTCGTGATGAATTTTACTTAATGCTCTCATACGGTAAATGGTTTTTAGAATATAATGTCACCCACGGGGGTTTTTGGGGCGTTACATCCTCCACCTCATCACCTGTAGACGAACATAATCTAGCAAATAATTTAAAGTGGTTAGCTAGAGGTGTACTGACCAGCTTTGAATTAACCATGTTAAATCTCTCTAGCACCTTCTCCATATATTTCTTCTATGAAACCCATAGTTTGCCTTTCCTTCTATCCCTCTGTATTTCCATGTCAAGGATCTTTTTAGCAGCACCTAGATCCTTCATGTCAAACTCACTCCATAATCTGGACTTTGGCAAATCTACTTCATGCATGTTATTTGAAGCAATTAACATGTCATCAACATAGAGTATCATAATAATAAAAGAACCATGTTCAAACATCTTATAATAAACACAACTATCATAATTGTTTCTCATGTAGCCAACATGCACCATAAAGGAATCAAACCTCCTATACCATTGCCTAGTAGACTTTTTCAACACGTAAAGAGATCTTTTAAGTTTACATACCATATTCTTTTTACCTTGCACCTTGAATCCTTCTGGTTACTCTATATATATTTCCTTCTCCAATTCTCCGTGAAAAAACGCTGTCTTGACATCAAGTTGCTGCTACTAAAGATAAAAAATAACTACCATGGCTAATATAACACGAATAGAAGAATGATTTACAATGAGAGACAAAATTTCATTATAGTCAATCCCTTCAACTTGCCTATATTCTTTTGCTACAAGACAAGCTTTAAAATTTTCTCCTTCATTTTCTATTGTAGGTTCTTTTTTTTTTTGATATACGCATTTGTAGCCAATCATCTTTCACCCCTTGGATTTTTCAACAAGCTCCCAAGTGTTGTTTTTATGTAAAGACTCCATTTCATCCTCCATTGCTATCATTCACTTTTCACTTTCTTTGTCATTGAGAGCATTTTGAAAAGAAGATGGATCTCCACTACCAACAACCAATGTAAAAGAAACCATACCTGACTAGTGCCTTATGGGTTCTTTTATTTCTTCCATCAGCTAGAGTTGTGGATTCTTGTTACTCGTCATCCCCACCAGATGTATCTTCCTGAGAGGACATTGGTACATCATTTTCTTCACTAGGCCGTTGTGTTTCATCTGGCTCTATCTGGACTGAGAACTTTTTTGCATGAGCCTCCACTTGCTTTATCAGCATCTTGCCTATTTAAGTTTAGCTTGTGCTCTTCATTGAAGACAACATCCCTGCTAATTATAACCTTCCGTGCAACTTGATCCCAAAGTTTATAACCTTTCACGTCTTTTTAGTAACCAATAATTATGCACTGTTTGGACTTTGGATGTAACTACGATCGTTGCTGCTCCTGCATGTGAACATTCTATTTGGAAAAATTTCTTGAATTCCCAGAGTTTATACTCCATGCCATTGTTTGTCCGTAGGTACTTGACCTACTTACTTGTCTACTTTTCAACTTTAGCTTTCCATTGCTTGAATTTGTCGAAGACTTCATTTTTGTGCTTCATAAAGTAGACCCATACTTTTCTGGAGAAATCATCAATAAATGTCACGAAATATACCGCTCCATCTTTGGATTGAACTGGCATAGGTCCCCATACATCCGAGTGTATATACTCCAACACATCCTTATTGTATGCTTCCCAGTCTTGAAGCTCACCCTGCACTGTTTACCATACAAGCAATATTTGCAAAAATTAAATTTACAAAATTTTACCCCATCAAGCAGCTTTCGTCTATGAAGTTCTTGCAATACTTTCTCACTCATATGACCAAGGCATAAATGTCACAGAGTAGTGTCATCAATACCTAGATCCAACGGAGTTGTCACAGCTGCTCCACCTGTAACAGTACTCCTTACAAATGTATACAAGTTACTCTTTCGTTTTCCTTTCATGATAATCATGGTCCCTTTAACAACTTTTAGAACTCCACATGTTGCCATAAAAGTAAAACCATTTGACTCAAGTGTACCTAAAGAAATTAAATTCTTTTTTAGGTCAGGAAAATGCCGTACATCACCTAGTGTTCTCACCATACCATCAAAAATTTTAATTTTAATGGTCCCAATCCCAACGATACTACAAATTGCATCATTACCCATGAGAATAGTTCCTCCATTATAGGGTTTATAAGTATCAAACCATTCCATATACGGACACATGGGGTAAGAACATCCAGAATCCAATATTCATTTCTCAGCAAGATAATTCATACCTTTGGTGATTGACAATAAATCACCATTATTGTCTAAACCATCTTGTGTAATGCTTGCTTGATCTGAATTCGCAGATTTCCCTTTGTCCTCCAAATCTTGCTTTCTTTTATAGCAATCACTTGATTTTGATACCACTCTTCCCTTTTAATTTTGAGCGTGACCTTCCTCTGTTTTTAGAGCCTTTGTTTTTACTTCTTCCTGTTGCTTGCTTGGTTCACCATTGACCATCAAGCCTTCTGCTTGGGAACCATTTCTTGGCCTACGGAGTGTCTCAGTCTCCAAGAGAGCAGCTGTCACCTCATCAACCCTGAGAGTATCTTTCTCAACCAAAAGTGTAGTCACAAGTGTATCAAAAGAAGATGGAAAATAAGCCAAGAGGAGAATAGCCTTATCCTCCTCTACGAGTTTAACCTTAACACTGGAAAGTTGAGTAACAATTTTATTAAACTGGTTATGATGATCAACAATATTTGTTCCTTCTACCATCCACAATTGATATAATTATTTTTTCAGGAACAATTTGTTTGTGAGAGATTTTGACATATAAATCTTTTTCAATTTTTCCCATAAATTCGGAGCAGAAGTTTCATTCAAAAAATTATATTTTACCTTTGGTGCGTGAGATAAACGGATGGTAATCACAACTTTCATCTCAAGTTCCTCCCAGTCCTCCTTTTCCATGTCCTAGTGTTTCTTGTCTTTTTTGAGTATTGCTTTGGGCAATCCTTGTTGCACCAAGATGTCTTTAATCGTGCTTTGCCACAGACTAAAGCTATTTTTCCCGTCAAAGGGCTGCACCTTGAATTTGCTCACCAAGATGCCTTTTCCCATCATCGTATTGATCGTTGGTAATCAAGAACTATGCACACTTGTTCTTAATTACAATCCTCCCGAAAAAATCTAGGGCTCTGATACCACTTGTTGAGAATTAGTTTCACAGTAATTTGGTCAATATAATGAAAAAAAAATAAATATGCGGAATAAAGAAAATCAAAGCATAACTCACAATACCACGATTTACGTGGTTCGAAAAAATTGTTTTTCCTATGTTTACGAGACGTGATCCAGTCTCCTTTATTTACTATTGAGAAAAAATAAGTACAAAGTTACAAGTCTCACCACTCAGGTTTAAATCCCAAAACCAAGCCCTTAAGCCCTTGCACAACCCACTCAACCTTATCCTCTCAAACCCCTAGTAAAGTCGTACTCTTAACAAGAGAATGAAAATTGAACAATTACAATTTTTTGGATGATCTAAAAAACCAAGATACCTATGCCTATTTATAGGCATCTCAAAGTGGTGGCAGATGAATTTCTTTGCATTTAAGCAATGCATTGATTGCTCCACTTGTATCATCCAATAAGATTTTAGCAATGATATCATCTAAACAATTACTATGGAACTCTTATCTCATTCAAGCAATGAAATTTTTCCACTTGTATCATCCAATAAACTTTTAGCAATGATGTTAGCTAACCAATCAAAATAGGTCTTTTAAGCAATGATGTCACCAAACCAATCAAAACAAAAATTTGAGCCACTCCCAATAGTTATCCTTATCTCATTTATTGTAAGTCTCCAGAACCTATGATTTTATTTGAGGCCATTGATTTCTATGACGATTTTACTAGATTGATGGTTTAAGTGGCAATATTTTATCCAACTGAATATATACTTGTATAGAGTTTCTAACATGGATGTCAGCATTGGGTTGAGAATTTTAGAACGTGACAAGGACATAGTGGAAATGCTCTAATGGGTTCTTGAGTATAGGGTAATCAGACTATATGCAGTACAAATTTTTGAAAAAGAAGTAGCTGCAGATAATAGAGATACTAGTGTTGCTGAAGAACAACCATTGAATGACAACTCATCTGCTTCTAGTTATGAGGAACTTGCTGATATTAAGTATGATTACACTGATGATGATGAGTTGTATGAGGTCAACGTTGGAAAAATAGCTGAGTGAGCTGGGCTAGGAAATCATAATAAGTAGAATGATGAAGAGATGACAATCAAGATAGTGCATAGGGGCTTGGTGCATAAAATCATAGTTCTGATGTAACTTATGATTATGCACCAGCAAAAGAGCTAACCAGTTTAGCATCTTCATTTGATGAGGAGGTGGTAATAGTGGTAGGCCCAAGCATCCTCAATTTTGGCCAAATAGAGATATGAGGCATCTTAAATTCTAGTTAGGCATGTTATTTGCTTCACCAATGCAATGTCGAGAGGTTTTCAAGGAGTCCTTAATAGGGAAGAGAAAGGACGTCATGTTTATGAAGAATGAGAAATTGAGAATAAGAGCTAAATGCAAACCACCATGTAAGTGGGTGGTGTTCACATCAAAGATGCAAGGGGAGATTACACTACAAATTAAAATCCTTAATAATTAGCATAAAAATTGCAGGCCTTCTCTTTCATAACAGTAATGTGAATTCTACGTGGGTATCAAATGAATGTATGCTTAATATCAAGTCCAATACAAAATACCATTTTTGGGCGTTTAGGGAAATTGTCGAGTAAGGTCATAATGTGGGTGTTAGTAGTAATAAGGTATATAGAGCAAAAAGGAAGTAATAAGGTATATAAAGCAAAAAGGAAGGCAATAAATCTTATTGATGGAAGCCATAAGGAGCAAAATAGTAGGTTCGGGGATGATTACTTAGAAAAAAGGAGAACTAACCCTATGTCTACAATGATTTTGAAAATTGATGACAACCAGACTGGGGATAAAAATCCAAGGCTTAAGAGACTTTACGGTTGCCTCGGTCCATTGAAGGGGGGGTTTCTATGTGGTTGTAGACCACTTATTTGTTTAGATGAGTGTTTTTGATAGGTCCTTATCCAAGACAATTACTTTCAACTATGGACCTTGATCACCATAATGACGTGCACCCATTTGCTTGGGCAGTGGCTGAGAATGATAATAAGAGTTCACGGAACTAGTTGTTACAGCCGTTGTGTAAAGACATTGACATCCAAAACCAATTTTCTTGGAGCTTCATTTCTAATTAGTAAAAGGTCCTTTTCCCCAACACTTCATGATTTGTTGCCAAATTATGAGCACAAATTCTTTGTTAGACACATGCAAGCTTATTTCAGAAAAGACAATAAAAGTAAGGAACTAACATACTAGCTTTGAAAATATTGATAAGGCTTGCACAATTCAATACTTTACCAATGATATCGTAACATCCCAAATTAGGGGTTCAAAGTTTTTATGAATCATGATGGAATATTTAAGGAAATTTGAGGATAATGATTGTGTAACTTCATTCGGTGTGGTATTCAATTATGTTGAATTTGGATTTTTGGAATTTTTGGGGGACGAAAGTGTAATTAGTATTACATTTTATGATTTGTCATTAATCTAAAATTTTTTTAGGTAAAAATAATATCATCGTTGAATTCATAGTGCCAAGAAACCTTAATATAGATGATTGAATGGTGTTGTACTTCAAAAGGATAAAATGGTCATTTTGCTATTTTAGGTATTAATTCAGCTTAGATTTTGAGTGGATTTTAAAATTACTCATAAAATAAATATTTTTGGGTTAAATTAACATTAGAAATGGATCAAAAATGGCCAAAAAAAAAAAAAAATTTGAGGTACACATTCGGAGTAAAGTGAAAGGTTTAGAGGATTGGAATCGAACTGGTTGTACAGAAAGTTTAGGCCGTTGAACTGATTTAGTATGACGGTCAATCAGCTTTGAAGGCGATCAACCAAATTTGAGGGCGATTGACCGAATCCTTTGGTTTGGAGTTGATTCTTCCACCGCCTTTACCCAGACAAGCCCTGCTATAAATACTCTTAATCTATATTCGTCCTTCGCATCTTTGGGACTTCTTTAAGCGCATATAAACACTTAAAAAAATAGAGAAAAGAGGGAGAGAAATAAAAAGTATAGCCAGGGGTTTTGCAAATCCGAGATTTCAATGACAAAACCAAGGGTTATCAGATCGACTTACACTTTGATGTATAGGATATATAAAATATTCTCTTCTTAAATCTCTCTGCAAAAGAGTAATATTCTCGGTTATTTCGTTTTTTTATTACAAACAGTTGTTCATCTATTTTAGTCTATTATTACAAACTAGAAGGTAATCAAGAATCCAAGGGGAGATCCTGTCCAACCTACTTTCCAGCCAGAATTCTGTTATTTCTACATTTCTGTTATGTCTTTCTACTCGGAGGGTTGAACTTCCGCCACCTTTGTGTCTTAACCGATATTAAGGTTGGTTGTATTTTAAGTATTCCTTGGGGAAGGAGTGTCCGTATTTTATTTAGTTTGTAATGAAACTTACCCGCACATTTTGCTTGTTTATGGCAATGGGGTGTGAGTAGTTCACTTTTACCCTCAGTGAGGGGTGAAGATATGTATATTATTGGTTAAGCTATGAAAATGCTGATGTTTAATTATCCTCTATTGTTATATATACCTCTCTTAAATGATGGATGATTATACTTATAATATGCTCACGGTTATGAACATCGAGCGATACTTAATATTCTATACCATGCTATCTATTATTATGTACTTCATGCATGATACAGTGATGTACGTAATTGGGTGTTACATAAAAGTTGGTTGATTGGTCATAGACGGCTTAAGTCTCGACATAGCCAATGCTTTCAATTCAATATGTGACTTGGAATTATGTCATCAGTGAATCATTAACCTGTCGGTGGAATATCTAAAGTGTTCCAACTGAATGGCTTGACCTTCTGATGCACTAAGGATGTTTAGTTGTTACATGATACAAAGTTGTTAGATGAATAACCAAATGTTTCAACTAAATGGCTTGACCTTCTGGTTCACTAGGGTTATTTAATTGTACATAATATAAAACTGCCGATTGAGTAATTCCAGTATTCCTCCTGAATGGCTTGACCTTATGGTTTACTTGAATTAGTCAATTGTTGCATATACCTACCAGCTAACCTAAACAACTGTTGTGTTATGGTTTAATATACATCAAACATGCCGGTTTCAACCCTCCGAGTAGAAAGACATAACAGAAATGTAGCAATAACAGAATTCTAGCTGGAAAGTAGGTTGGACAGGATCTCCCTCTGGATTCTTGATTCCCTCTTAGAATAAAATAAGAACAGTGAAGTTGTTGTTAAAGCAATGTAACATGAGATAGCTTATGAGGTGAGCTTAAATTGATAACTTGACTAAGTAAATGAAATGCATAGGTAAACTGTTAAAAGACAATAATATGAAATGTACCCTTCGATTTAAGGATTCCATATGCTTTATATTGGTTAAGAACTAGAAATGCCACCTTATAACAATTAACTTCCAGGTCATTGGAAAGTCAACCGTTAAGTCTGATGTATATTAAACCATAGCACAACAACTGTTTAGGTTAGTTGGTAGGTATATGCAACAATTGACTAATTCAAGTAAACTAGAAGGTCAAGCCATTTAGGAGGAATACTGGAATTACTCAATCGACAAATTTATATTATGTATCAGTTAAACAACCCTGGTGAACCAGAAGGTCAAGCCATTTAGGAGGATCACTCAAGTTATTCATCTAATAGCTTTATTCCATGCAACAGTTAAACATCCTTAGTGCACCAGAAGGTCAAGCCATTTAGATGGAACACTTTAGATATTCCACCGAAAGGATGATGATTTACTGATAACATAATTCCAGGCTACATATTGAACTGAAAGCATTGGCTATGCCGAGATTTAACTTGTCTATAATCAATCAATCGAATTTTACCTAACACTCAATTATGTACATCATTGTATCATGTATCAAGTACATAATAGTAAAAAGTATGGTATAGAATATTAAGTACTACTCGGTGTTCATAGTCCTGAGCATATTATAAATATAACCATCCATCAGTTAAGGGAGGTATATATCAATAAAGCACAATTAAACGTCGACATTTCCATAATTTAACCAATAATATACATATGTTTACTCCTCACTGAAGGGTATAATTAAAGTACTCACACTCAATTTCTATAAACAAGCAAGAAGTGCGAGTAAGTTTCATTACAACACTAAATAAAATACAGTCACTCCTTTCCAAGGAATAATTGAAATACAACCACCCTTAATATCAGTTTAGACAAAAGGTGGTGGAAGTTCAACTCTCCAAGTAGAAAGCATAATAGAAATGTAGAAATAATAGAATTTTGGTTTGAAAGTAGGTTGGACAGGATTTCTCGAATTTCTCGTTCTTTTTCTCTCCTTTGGATCCTCCCTGGAGCTCCCCCTCTTCAACCATCCGAAAATGAAGGTTGCAAAGCCTATTTATAGGCAAAGTGGAAGCTGCTAGTGAGACAATTGTTCGGATGCCACCAACACCGTTCGGAAAGTGCTAGTTTGCTGGAATGTGGTGGTAGTTCCATAGTGTTCTTGCATGTTCTATGTTGATATTACATTTGCACCCCTACTGGTTCATAGCTTTGATAGATTGTTCCACTTGCTTTCCGCACAAAAACTCTAAAATTTCAGACATTACACACATAAAACCCTGATTTACGCACTAACCCTAATTTACAGTTTTTAATTATTTTATCTTACAAAATTTACTTATTTACTTATTTTAATTTACATACTAATTAGGGTTAATCACACTTCCAACCTAAACTTTACTAGTCCCTAGTAAACAAAATAAAAATAAAAATAAAATCACTTTCGTAGATTTTCATGATTGCATTTAGCATATACAATAAGCCGTTAAACCCCTAGGTGATCCCCAGTGGACGAGTTTTGTCTCGTGAATGTTTTTAGTGAAGCTACCTGCAAACTTCAATAGTTAGGAGTTCATATTTCATAATTTTTATAGATAAAATTAATCAATATTCCTTTACATCAGTAGAATACATTCTTTTTCTGATCACTA